AGTACCATAAGGGCATTCGCTACCTCTATACCTTCGCCTCTGCACCAGTTGCTTATATTGGGTGTGCTAAGGTTACGTTGGGGGGCCATTGTTCAAACAGTTAGCTTTATTTGATTTAAAAGCCAAAAAAAATACTTTCATAGAACTGAGGTTATTTTAGTAACTTACGGGGATACAGTGATTTTAAGGTTACTTTTGACAATAGGGCTTACAAAAAAAATATCCCAGCGGTGCCTCCAATTGTGTAACACCCGTCCCATGTGACCAAGGCTCTCAAACCAATCAAATGTGGTGGTAAACTATGGGCGGGGTCCTGGGTACTTTTACTTTAAAATAATAAAATGGTAAACAGGAGATACGAGAAAATAATTACTCCTAGATCTACTAATAAATGACGGTGCCTCCACTTAGTGAAAGAAATACAGGTATGTACTCTTACTTCCAACTAAGAAAATAATAATATATAAACCTTTTGAATCTCTGTTTGTAACCTCTTAAACTACCAAAAATAAAACACACACACAGAGTGAAGTAAAATGCAAAAAGTAGAAATTTAGTAATTAGAAAATAAAATGGGCAAAAATAAACAAAACAGTGGGTTGGTACAATCACTCTTAGAATACCCCCATTTCCTTTCTCTGGTTACCCAAAAGTTCTCAGTTCAGTTCACTTTGGTTGCAGGCCTGATGATGCTTGTGATCGTTGTGGCCTTACAAACATAACAAAATGGCCTCTTCACTTGCCATGCAAGCTAGGGAAAAGAAACAAAAAAATATAGCACGTGCACCTGGTGTTTTCAGAGTACTCACGAAACCTTCGTGTAAATGGTAGTGACCGGGCTAGGCGGCAGACGAGACGAGACATCGAGCTTTAAGATGGCGGGGAACGGCTTCTCTCGTCCTCACCAGAGCAGATCCAACGATGAACAGCAAAACTACTTCCCACTAAATCCCACAGTAGGGTCCAAAGAGGGCATCTCTGGTCCAATCCTTCACATGTAAAACAAATCCACCCAGAGCTTGTAGACTCTGCATCCACCTGGATAGACCGTGTTTACTGGACTGGCTTAATGACATCTGTTCAGTTCGCTGCTAAAAGGCGAGTGAGTCGAGGACTAGACTTGCCTCGCACTTGCGGTGTTGGGCTACGCCCACCCATCTCCGATTGGATGTTACAGGTACATCGTCCAATAAAATCATAAAAAACAACATCGCTTATGCAAATGAACTTTTAACAACATTAGTATTAGGTTTTTAACTATTTATACATTAATGAAATGGGTTATTTATTTAGGTAGATTTTTATGCATTTTAATCACATTAAATATTTATTTATATTTTTATCCAAATTAATTTATGCACATAGTCAGCTTTGTCTAAAGTGGCATTTTTTAGACTAGGCTACACAGGTTTAAAGATCGACATTCTAAACATAATCATCACAGTCACATATAACAAAAATTTGAATTACTCTGTTATGGCACACTTGTTTTAGTCACTATGTTGTAGAAGATTAAAAAGATGTTACTTTGGCACCAATTAAACACACAACACTCATGAATTAGTCGAAAATCAAGAATGTATTGATTCTTTCAATATTCAATGGATTGAATTTTGACCTCCTCTTCTTTTTCTTTCTCTTTATAATTTACTGAAAATTAGATATGTATTAGACATTGCCAGTATTATTCTATCAAATCACGCAGTCTAAATATCCACAACCACCAAGCATTTTTAATGCAAGGAGAAACTTAGGTAACTTTAAACACAAATAAAACAAATGGACCTGTCCGACTCGAGTGTCTATGCTTCGTGTGTCTCTGGTTCTGTCCAAGTGTCTATGATCCGCGTGTCTCGCGTGTCTCCGCCTGTCTGGGTTCTGTCTGCGTATATGAAAATGTAAATGTAAATGTCTGTCTGTGGTTCTGTTCGGGTGTCTATGGTCCGCGCTCGGAGCCCAGACGGCAGTGCGTTCACTGAGCTGTCAGAGCGGGGGTCACAGCAGCTGCTCCCGGGGCCAGAGCGGAGGATGTAACGTAACGTTCGGTTTATCAAAACATATCACAATATTTAACGTATAACACTAGTGAATTTCACCTAGATTTTTTCAGACATTAAAGACAAGATGTTATATAATAATTGTTTAATGAAAAAACAATTTTGCCAAAAAAATGACAATCGACCTATTTTTACTGTTTACTCGGAACGTGCCAGCATGACATCCGACGGGTTTTCCCAGATCGCATCACATATATACGTTAATGCAATTTAATTATAAAGATTAACATTAGTACAAAATATGTATATGTTGTCTGTTATGCTCTTACTTTGAAAAAGCATTCAATAGCAACACATATACATTCACATGCACGGCTTGAACACACAGCCAATTTTACACATTTCCTTTTGACAAGGAAAGAAGATAACAATCTGATAACGTTACGTAATTGCACACAAGCAACCAAAAGATGTGCAACCAAAATTGCCTCAGACAAGAATCGAACCTGGGTTCTCCAGGTCCCAGTCTTCAATGCTAACCATTCGTGTGATACCTGAGCGTCTAAGTCGCTGGCAGAGCTAAAGCGGACTTAACCTGCCACCTTGTGGCAATAAGATGTAATATTTTTCACGCAGCTGCGTGATTCCCAAAAAGCGTGAGTGAAGACGACAAAACGAAATGGGACCTACTGTATTGTGCATGTTTTTAGTGGTAGGGGAAACCGGAGTACCCGGAGGAAACCTACGCAGACACAGGGAGAACATGAAAACTCCAGTCAGAAAGGCCCTGGTCCAGCCGGGATTCGAACCCAGGACCTTCTTGCTGAGAGGCGAGAGTGCTATCTGCTCAGCCCCCATGCCACCCACAGTGCAAGAAATCAAGTCCCAGAGATATCAAACCTGTTGGTTGTAGGTCTGCTGCTGTAAAAAGCAGTGCATACACTGCAAAACACAGCTGCAGAGGACACTGCACTGAGGGGCAGAAGCAGGACTGAGGGCTACGGGAATACCAGAGAGAGAGAGTTCAGAGAGAAAGACCAGAGAGATAATTGAAAGAGTCCTATGAACTATTCAGTTTGGTGCACACAAGTCACAAAAATTTTCTTCTAACTTATAAGGTAAAAAAATCACAATTACAAAAAAGGACTACTGTGTATTAGGAGTGGACTGACCAAGTGTGACATCACCATAGTGTGACATCACCACAATGTCAGCCTTAATGGGGATAAGGATGATTTGAACATAAGCTAGCTGGAACCAATTTTCTTGTATTGGCATTAGTTCTGCAGCGTTAGCTTGGCGCTGCAACAGGGGCAGACGTGTTGCTAAGCTGGATGCTAAGACAAGCCGGAGTTTGTGAATGAGGGCCTCTGATTGGTCAATCCTTAAATTCTCACATCAGTGATGGGGACTCGTCCCTAAAGACTCGGACTTGTGAACGTCGCGAGTCCTGACGCTCCAGATTCATCAATTTCACAGACTGGTAAGGCTGTGCACGGTCTTTGGCTGTGCTCGCTCTTTGGGTGTGCGCGCTCTATGGTTGTGCGTGCTCTTTGGTTGTGTGCGCTCTTTGGCAGCGATCGCGGGTCTTGACTGTGCGGGTATGCACGTGTTGGCTGTGTGGCTGCCGGATTCGTCCCGGAAGTTCAGTTTGCGCATGTCAAAAAATTTAAATAAACATTTAAACAGTCTCTGTTGTTGTATACAGATTATATTCTTGATTTGTGCACCTACTGTATGTATCAAGGTTTATTACGAGAAATGGCGGAAAAAGAGCTCCGAGAAAAAAATACTTTTAGTAGCCACGAAGCTAGCGCCCAGATGCGTTCAAAGGCACACGGAAATGAGGCAAACACATACAGTTTAATTCTTGATTAGATTCACAATCCTTTACTTGTTTAAATATCATACACCTGTTATGTGGATCCCCTGTGTTTATATATTAGTCTCTCTCTCTCTCTCTGGTCTCTCTAAGCCCAAAAATGTGAGTATGACACAAAGGGTTAATGAGCTAGAGGAGTTTTTTTTGGAGCCAAACTTCACCATGAGGACTTCTTAATTGGGCGTCATTGAGATAGCGGGTTACCATAGTCACCCTAACACTATGGTGATGTCACACTTATTCCACTCACACTCACACAGCTCCTCCATATTTATCAGCTGATCGATCAGACCTGCTTCACTGATTGACAATCACAGATGGTAATAACCAGAAGAACCCTTGGGATCAGAGGTCCAGAGCTCGGGTCGGGGACTGTCCACTGAACACAGAAGTCACCCGAGCCGATCAACACTAAAGACCTGAACTGTATCGATCCGTATAGATCACTTCTCTCCCTGCATGCATCACTCCTCCCATCAGCGGTGGAAGTGGTGTATTGTATTTTAGTATTTCAGCAGAAAAACCAGAGAGAAAGACGAGAAAGGGAGACCAGAGAGAGAGACTAGAGCGAGGGATAAGAGAGAGAGAGAACACAGAGAGTGACCATAGAGAGAGAGAGAGACAAGAGAGAGACCAGAGAGAGACCAGAAATATACCAGGGGAAGAGACCAGAGAGAGACCAGAGAGAGACACCAGAGAGAGAGGGACCAGGGAGAGAGACCAGAGAGAGACCATGCAGAAACCAGAGAGAGACCAGAGAGACCAAAGAGAGAGACCGGAAAGAGAGACCAGAGAGAAGCCAGATAGACCAGAAAGAGAGACCTAAGAAAAAATTCATAGAGAGAGATCAGAGAGAGACCAGAGAGAGAGAGATCGGAGAACACTATTATTCTAACATAATAGTCCCAAGACCTGAATATTATTGAGAATTTGTGGTGTGATTTAAAACAGGCTGTCCATGCTCAGAACCCATCAAACTTGACTGAACTCGAGATCATTTGCAAAGAAGAATGTTCCAAAAAATCTTCCACCGATATCTGGACTCTAGATATAGGAAGCGTCAAGAGGTTTAGAGAGCGTTATTTTTGCAAATGAAGTCCAGGTTAAGTCTGATGCTGATGCTAACCTGTCCACCCGGCGAGGCAGCGGCAGTGTCCTGTCTCTGGATTGCAGCTCTCAGAATTCACGCAGTCACAGGTCTCTCTACACTCTCGACCAAAGCTCCCCTCCTGCACACACACACACAAACACACAGAAATACACACAAACACAACATGCAGCCAATAAATGGGACATCGAAATTCAAATAATTTTAAATCAATTAATGCTGTACGACAACTTTTTTGCTTCATAAATATCATTCTGTGGTCTCTCTCTCAGGTGTCTTTTTTCACTCTCTCTCTGGTCTCCCTGTGGTCTCTCTTGTCTCACTCTCTAGAGCAGGGGTGTCAAATTAATTTTGGTCTGGGGGCCAAATACAACCTAATTGGATCTCAACGGGGCCGACCAGAAGATTCTCTGCAAAATACCCAAAAACAGAAGAAAGTCCAACTTTTTGTGCACATAAACACATTTATTTAAAACTTCCTTTAAAATACTGTCCTTTAATACACACTCAGTTTTAACTGTGAATCTGTTACTGACTTAGATGTAACAGTGAGTTTTTCATAGTGCAAATAAAGTATTTACAATATTACATTGTAAATGGAATTTCACAAGATTTATATTAATATGTCTGCATCGGTACCAGGCTGACAGTCCACACTGTCCAACGCACCAGCAGCAGTAGCACCAGCAGCAGCAGCACCAGTAGCAGCGCTGATAGTGTCCTCAGATGTTGTGGAATCCACCACAGGCACCAACACTAAAATCTCCTCTGTGATTGTCAAAGTATCAGTAACACCACGAATGAATATGCAACATCAGTAAAATCAGTGCTCTTATCAATGAACAGAAAATGCCACACACAACTTCAATTTGTAGCTAGTTCTGAAATCCATTTTGGTGCACCTGGACAGGCTGATGTTGGAAAATGGTGTGGTTTTTCAGGACACGCCATTTCTGCAGCCTGTAAGCAAGGTTTGACAAGCTCTCCCTCACTGTACTGCGATGATAATGCTATGTTGTTAGCAATCAGGCCTTTACAGCAACATCACTGACCTCTCGCTCTGGGCACAAAAAGACTGCTATTTCTTCAGGGCCAGACACGTTTATCTTCTGTCATCTCAATTCTCCGCTTAATTTGCCGTATTTTTTGCCGAGTCTGGTAGTATAAAGGACAACTCACCCTCAAATCCTTTTTTTTGGCTAATAAACAGTATAAATGAGTGTCCAATAGTCTTGTATACATATCCTGGTCATAATTTTGTGCCTTTAGTGCAAACCAACATTGGCGCAGCAGTCATTGCTGACGTCAGTTGCCCTGCCGCCCTGAGGTATTTAAGCGGCCCCAGTCTCATTCACGCCCCCGTAGCGAGTTGGCGAAGGAATAGCAGAGAGTATTTTCATCAATTGTCAGGTTTGCGATTAGTTATAGCATTTAGGGAGATTTTTATTAGCATTGCTGTTTGTATTATAGATAATTCCATCCACCCATCCATCCATTTTCTTCCGCTTTATCCGTTGCCGGGTCGCGGGGGCAGCAGTCTAAGCAGAGACGCCCAGACTTCCCTATCCACACACACTTCCTCCAGCTCGTCCGGGGGGACCCCAAGGCGTTCCCAGACCAGCTGAGAGACATAATCCCTCCAGCGTGTCCTGGGTCTTCCCCGGGGCCTCCTCCCGGTGGGACGTGCCCGGAACACCTCCCCAGGGAGGCGTCCAGGAGGCATCCGGAACAGATGCCTGAGCCACCTCAACTGGTTCCTCTCGACGTGGAGAAGCAGCGGCTCTACTCCGAGCTCCTCCCGTGTGACTGAGCTCCTCACCCTATCTCTAAGGGAGCGCCCAGCCACTCTGCGGAGGACGCTCATTTAGACCGCTTGTATCCGCTATCTCGTTCTTTCGGTCATTACCCAAAGCTCATGACCATAGGTGAGGGAGGGAACGAAGATTGACCGGTAAATCGAGAGCTTTACCTTTCGGCTCAGCTCCCTCTTCACGGTCCGATACAGCGACCGCATCACTGCGCACGCTGCACCGATCCGCCTGTCAATCTCACGCTCCATTCTTCCCTCACTCGTGAACAAGACCCCGAGATACTTGAACTCCTCCACTTGAGGAAGGACCTCTCCACCCACCTGCAGAGGGCAAGGCACCTTTTTCCGGTCGAGCACCATGGCCTCGGATTTGGAGGTGCTGATTCTCATCCCAGCCGCTTCACACTCGGCTGCAAACCGCCCCAGTGCATGCTGCAGGTCCTGGTTCGTTGGAGCCAACAGGACAACATCGTCCGCAAACAGCAGAGATGAAATCCTGTGGTCTCCGAACCGGACCCCCTCGGACCCCTGGCTGCGCCTAGATATTCTGTCCATAAATACAGTGAACAGAACCGGTGACAAAGGGCAGCCCTGTCGGAGGCCAACATTCACCGGGAACAGGTCTGACTTACTGCCGGCAATGCGAACACAGCTCTGGCTCCGGTCATACAGGGATCGGATGGCCCTCAGCAGAGGACCTCCGACCCCGTACTCCCGGAGAACCCCCCAAAGGACACCCCGGGGAACACAGTCGAACGCCTTCTCCAAATCCACAAAGCACATGTGGACAGGTTGGGCGAACTCCCATGAACCCTCGAGTATCCGATGGAGAGTATAGAGCTGGTCCAGTGTTCCGCGACCGGGACGAAAACCACACTGCACCTCCTGGATCCGAGATTCGACCATCGGCCGTAGCCTCCTCTCCAGTACCTTGGAGTAGACCTTACCGGGGAGGCTGAGGAGTGTGATCCCACGATAATTGGAACACACCCTCCGGTCCCCCTTCTTGTAGAGAGGGACCACCACCCCGGTCTGCCACTCCATTGGCACTGCCCCCGATCGCCACGCGATGTTGCAGAGACGTGTCAGCCAAGACAGTCCTACAACATCCAGAGACTTTAGATAATCAGGGCGGATCTCATCCACACCCGGAGCCTTGCCACCATGGAGGCTACCAACCACCTTGGTGACCTCAGCCAGGGAGATGGATGTATCCGCCCCAACATCCTCAGCCTCTGCCTCTGAAACAGAGGACGTGACGGGGGGATTGAGGAGAACCTCAAAGTATTCCTTCCACCACCCGACAATATCCCCAGTCGAGGTCAGCAGCTCTCCACCCGCACCGTACATGGTGTTGGCAAAGAACTGCTTCCCCCTCCTGAGGCGCCGGATGGTTTGCCAGAATCTCTTCGAGGCCGACCGATAGTCATGCTCCATGGACTCTCCGAACTCCTCCCAGTCCCGGGTTTTTGCCTCTGCAACAGCCCGGGCCGCGGCACGCTTGGCCTGCCGGTACTGGACAGCTGCCTCAGGAGTCCCCCGAACCATCATGGCTCGATAGGACTCCTTCTTCAGCCTGACAGCATCCCTTACTGCCGGTGTCCACCACCGGGTTCGGGGGTTGCCGCCGGGACCAGCACCAGAGACCTTGCGACCACAGCTACGAGCCGCCGCATCGGCGATTGAGGCAGAGAACATGGTCCACTCAGACTCCATGTCCCCCTCCTCCGCCGGGACCTGGGAGAAACTCTCCCGGAGGTGTGAGTTGAAAGTCCGTCTGACAGGGGGCTCAGCGAGACGTTCCCAGCAGACCCTCACTATACGCTTGGGTCTGCCAGGTCTGACCGGCTTCTTCCCCTGCCAGCGGATCCAGCTCACGACCAGGTGATGATCGGTTGACAGCTCCGCCCCTCTCTTTACCCGAGTGTCCAAGACACGCGGCCGAAGGTCAGATGATACGACAACAAAGTCGATCATCGACCTCCGGCCTAGGGTGTCCTGGTGCCACGTGCACTGGTGGACACCCTTGTGCTCGAACATGGTGTTCGTGATGGACAAACTGTGACTGGCACAGAAGTCCAACAACTGAACACCGCCCGGGTTCAGATCAGGGGGGCCGCTCTTCCCGATCACCCCTCTCCAAGTGTCACTGGCGTTTCCCATATGGGCGTTGAAGTCCCCCAGGAGATTATAGATAATTGTTTAGTGTTAATAGCGTTGTTGTTGAATATTGTAGTTTTAGTTGTTAGTATTTTTAGTGTTCTATATTGTGTGCTATTTCATTGTATATTGTTTATTGTACTTGTGTACAATATATACTTCTTTATGTTTGAGCGTGTGTCTCTTTTGTGTACATTGGGGTGTCATTTCTATCCAAAATACCTTTGGGGTTTCCATGCAGCACAAGTTTTCCCTTGGGGACAAGGAGGTGCAGTGGCCGCAGCTTATTGTGGCAGAGTTTAGAATATTATAATCCCACAACATATCGTTTATCTTGGTCTGGGTTCATACATAAAATGTACAGACAAAACTGTCAAGCAAAGCACCGCAACACAAAGAGTTACTGTATAGGAATAAGGGAAGGCTACATAAATGCCCACTCTTGTCAAAGGTTCGATTCAGAGAGGTTAACATTTTTGGGGTCCGGATCCCTAACATGATTGTTCTTCAAGACCTGTGACAAGCAGTTCGTACTTTTTATTCCACTCTAATCTATATTATTCAGAAACAGGCCCAATTCTGTGGCGGTCTGCTGCTTCCACTGCCTCTGCAGCATCGCTCCCCCGGTGGTGCCTACTAGCTAGCCGCTAGCTCGCGAGCCGCTAGCTCGCGAGCCGCTAGCTCTAGCGGCGCTAGCTCGCGAGCCAATAGCTCTAGTGCCGCTGCTCAAATTGATTGGGCTGAGGGCCGCTATCTGCCTCCTCTCTCTCAACCTCCGATGAGGACGGTGGAAAGAAGTCCTCTACCTTCCAAGACCACACAGAATCTATAGAGCTGGCGTCTGTGATCACTCTCCATCTTTGACACGGCCAATGCTGATGTCAAATGTCAATCACAGCTTAGACCCGCCCAACATTCACCCCCCCGCCTGTCCCCTTTAGTCCTCCAGGCAACACCCATTTGGAGGGGGATTTGAAAAGAGAATGTGAGTGACGTAAGCCTCGAGGAGGGGGGGTGAGAAGTCCTTTAAGATGGTATTCTTTTAGCACCGCCACTTGTTGCATGCACATTGATGCACACCAAGCATACCGGTGTTGCATTCACCTCCGCGAACAAATAAGAAATAGTCCACTTTTCTTGGAAAACCCGACACTCGATGCCTACCTTTCGCCTTTTTGACAAAGACATTTTGCTGAGGGGGTCACTGTCAGTGTCACAGAAAGTAGCCCGTTATGGTGGGAGCCACTACAGAGACACTTGACTTGCTGCTGAGCTAAGCGTTGCGGCGCGTGGCGTTGCTAAGCAGAGCAGATTTATTTAAAAAAATATTTTATTATTATCATTTTACATAAATGAGCCGCGGGCTGTATCAAATCTCTTGGCGGGCCGGATCTGGCCCCCGGACCGCATAATTTACACCCCTGCTCTAGAGTCTAGTCTCTCTCTCTCTCTGGTCTCTGTGGTCTCTCTATGGACTCTCGCTGGTCTCCCTCTGTGGTTTCTCTGTGGTCTCTCTGAGGTCTCTCTGTGGTCTCTCTCTGTGGTCTCTCTCTGTGGTCTCTTTCTGTGGTCTCTCTCTGTGGTCTCTCTCTGTGGTCTCTCTCTGGTATCTCTCAATGGTCTCCCTTTCTGGTTTCTCTCTCTGGTCTCTCTCTCAGTGTTCTCTCTCTGGTCTTTCTAGTATCTGTGGATCTAAAGAGTCTAAATATAGGTATAGGCCAAAGACATCATACATGTGAAAACTGGTGATAGAAGCAAAATGATTTAGAGCCAGAAACTAGAAACATGGACTATTACATCCTCATTGTTTTTTACTTTGAAAGTTAGGTACCCCAGCTTTAGCGGTTACACTGGCATCACTCACGGGACAGGGTAGACTACAGAGCTCTCCTCTCCAGCCAGGCGCGCACACACATGTCCCGTTCACCGGGTCGCAGTCAGCTCCATTCTCACACACACACGAGTTGTTACAGTAGAGCCCCCAGGAACCACTGGAGCAGGACAGGGTGCAGTCCACACCCTGCCAGCCTGCAAGAGTAGAGGGGAGACAGTTAGGAGAGACACGTTTTCCAGACTGCTCATCACAGTCAACTTGCAATTGAAGAGAAGAGAGGGTTTACAGTGAGGTCATGGAGTTTTTCAGGAAACAAAGAACTTGAAATTACATTGACCCTTTCTTCCGCTTTATCCATTAATGGGTCGCAGGAGCAGCACTTGTGTGTGAAGGGGGACACCCAGACTTCCCCCTTCACACACAATTCCTACTCGTGACGGAGCTCCACTCCAAGCTCCTCCGCTGTGACTAAGTGCCTCACTTTATCTCTAAGGGAGCAGTGGAGGAAACTCATGTGGACCACTTGTATCCATTGTGTCCTTTCAATCATTACCCAAAGCCTATAACCAGAGGTGAAGGAGGAATGTAGAGCTCTGAGAGTAGACGCTGCTCCCTCTTCACCCCAACAGTCCGATGCAGCTCCGACTGCAGACACTGCTCCCTCTTCACCACAACAGACATCCCTGTTGTTATTAATAAGACTACGTGATTATTATTCAGCCCCCGCTGAAAAATCAAGGCTGTATTGTCACTGACAGAGCAGCCGTCCTCCTGTGGACTCACCACCTGCAGGAGGATCAGTGAGGGGCTGGTGCTAAGTGAATTGGGTGCAGCTCTGACTGCCACCCCCCCGACCCAGAAATGGATTAAGGGGAAGAAGATGGATGGATGGATGGATTATTATTGTTTACTCCGGTCATTATCTGCTGCTAAAGTACAATATCAACATATACTAAATACCAATAAATACCTCCTGCTGACTACAGTGTATACGCAGTGTACTATCCTTGAACGAAGTGCAATTCAATCTGGAGAGACTACAAGACAAAAAATGTATTTAAATGTTTTATTCAAAGATTGTTTGGCACTCTAGGCCCCGGTAGCGGCACTTGGTCTTTGAAGCTCCTTGATTGTGCGCGCTTACAATCCCCCGGGACCTAGGTACTGGTGGTGGCAAGCAGAGGAGAGAGTGCACACTCTCAGCAGAGGTGGAGGAGGGGAGAAATATTTCTTGGAGGGCAGAAGAAATTCTCTGAGGGAAAGTTTTGGGCCACGAACCGGCGAACCACGTGTCCTGGTAGAACCTCCCAAAACCCACGGATGGGCCAGCTTCCTTGAAGAAGCGCCGAGCATCGGAGGAACAGATGACATCACTGTAGAAAAAAGAGACGCCGTTCCAGGGGTCCAGCAGGCGGGACCAGAACTCCAGGACGGGCAGGCACCCGGCGTCCAGGGAGACAGTGTTGTGGAGGGAAGGGACCAAACCGACGAGGGCGAGAAGCCTGGAAATGAAGGAACGGCCCTGGGGAATTATCCGGATGGCAAAATTGAGATGCCCGAGCAGGGAGAGGAGCTGGCGCTTTGACGGCGACGAGGAAGTCAGAGCAGACTGGGAGAACGTGCGGATACGCTGGCGCTTGTCCAGCGGGGGGAGGCCTGCATGCCGCGCGTGTCGAGGCTAATGCCGAGAAACTCCAAGGTGGTGGCCGGGCAAGTGGTCTTCTCCTCAGACAGGGGGACCCCGAGGGCAGGGAAGGCGAGCCTGAGTTTGCGGAGAGAGCCCCCCGAGCCATCCGCAGGCGGATCGACCAGGAGGAAGTAATGATGAAGAAATGATGGAGGAGAGAGGGAACACAGCAGGATCCAATATAGCGTCTCCGAAAGAGTAATAAAAAGGGAAGGACTGCTCCTACAGCCAAAGATAAGCCGCACGGCAAAATAAAACTCGGAATGCCACTTGACCCCAAACCAGTCTTGGTCAACCTGATCGCGTGGTCGACCGTTTAATACTGCAGGGAAAAGGGCTTGGGAGGAATAAGACTATTTATGCTCAGTGTGGGCCCAAAGCAGGCGCGCTTCGCCCCAGTGTGCTTGGATGTGCGCTTACGGGGAAGGGGGTCTGGCGAGGTGGAGCCGGTTGACAGCTGGAGCTGGAGCGACGTCGCATCGGGACCGGGCACCACACCCCGTGCAGCAAGGTAAGCACGGACGGACCCGTCGTCCTTGAGCTACATCTCAGGTTGTAGATGGAGCTGAGGACCTCAGAGAGCTGGTCTGCACAGGTCCTCAGCAGCCTGGGACTGACCTTGTCCGGTCCTGTGGATTTTCTCTGCTACAGTCGCTTCAAGTAACTCCTCACTTGGTCTGGTGGGATGGAGAGCGGGAAGTGGGGGGGAGAACGGGGTGCACTGTCAGAGGTGGGGGCTGGGGATGTAAGGGCAGTTGAAGGCAGTGTCCAATGGGCGATGTCTACAAGGCTGGAGGCGTGTGAAGAGGTGGGGGCGGGACCGGGGGGAATGGAGTGGGGGGAGAATCGAACCGGTTGAAATATTGGTTAAATTCATCCGCTCGGCGCTGGTCTCCATCGGCTGTCCCTCTGGCACTCCGTCCGAATCCGGAGATGTTCTTTAGACCTCTCCACACATCACCGGCGTTTCCCTGCACCAGCTTCTGCTCCAGCTTTTCCCCATAGTCATTCTTGGCCCTCCTGATCCTCCACTGGACCTTGTGCTGGGTCCTCTTTTGCTCCTCTTTGTCCCCTGCAATGTTGGGCACATTACTTTGAAAAAGTAATTAGTTACAGTTACTAGTTACTAGTTACTTCTCCCAAAAAGTAAGAAAAAAAGAGTCACTAACGGAGTTACTCCACTATAAAAGTAACTAGTTATCAGTAAAAGTAACTATTGCGTCGTTTTTTTCTGAACATAATGTGCACTCGAGGTGCGCATTTTTACCTTTAACCTCAGTGAGTTTGAAACAGTGCCAATATTTCCATCTAGAAAAGGCTGTTTTGCTGCTGAAGTCCTGTTCACTCTCCATCTCTCTCTGTGCTGTAAGCACTAAACACCAACACCCGCCACTTTGAATGTGGAAACACCGGTGAAGCACTGACTTCAGCCCAATCAGATGAACATATATATCATATAAATCAACTGGACCAAGAGAGTGGCATATTCACCGTTTGTTTGGCTACAGCAGAATATGTTTGATGCCCGCATTGTTTGTTCATACAAAACGCAAAACTATGAGTTATGGGTCTTACCTTATAAATGAACTGCACAGTCCACTTCAGTTCAGACCAGTTCCGTGTTTAAGTCCAGATAATAGTTTGAGCGTAGACATGTTATCCTCCATTTGGAAATGAGTCCAATGAGTTTTAAAAAGTAAAACAAAACGCGTGTCTCCTCCATAAACTTCTCTGTTTTGCTGGCTGCAGCCGGGTGCATCCAATTTCTAAAATCAACCGTCTTATACTTCACCTCTCTTTCTTATCATTCCTATAATCATTGAAAAATTACCCTGTATGCAGCCGACTTCTGCGCTCACATGCGCTCCTCTGAGGCTGGCCTCACGGTAATACAAGCCGTGGTTGAGCGCGATTAAGACCGATGTTTGTTTCAAAAACACAATTTATGAGCCATCCTCTCAACTGTAGACATGTAGATTGTAGAGGAAATATGTTTTACATCAGCCAATAATTGCTGAGAGGTTTTCTCATCCTCCCTTCTCTCATGACAACACACGCACGAGTCCTATCACGAAGTAAAAAGAGAAGTTCATTGTGCGTAACGGGATGTCGGAAATGATAACGGCGTTATAGTTCCAGTCAAAGTAACTAGTCAGATTACTCGTTACTGAAAAAAGTAGTAACGCCGTTATTCCCATCACTGGTCCCCTGATATGAAAGCCCTTTTCTTGAGGTTCAGGAGGGTTTTAAGCTCAGGGGTCACCCCTGGATGGTTGTTGGAAAAACAGTGCTATTCACACAGAAGAGATTATAGTCTCTTATGCAGTGTGTCACGCGTTCGATGTCATCTCCATAAAGCCTAGCGTACATCGACAGAGAAACTGGGGACAACTAGTTGCAAGGCGGCTTTTGGCAACTGAGAGGAGATGGTGGGAGATGATCAGTTGCCGAAATCGGTCGATGTGCGCGCTCTTACAACTGGAGATGATCAGTCGGTCTCCAGTTCCAGTCAGTTGCCCGTGTTCTACTTTTCGGCAACTAGTTGTCCTCAGTTGCTCCGATGTGCGCGCTCCATGCGCCGCTCCGACAACGTGTGTGTATTGCGTGTATAGCGCGCCCGCAACAGTTTATGTCAGAAAACACACTGTAGTTGAGGCCAGTCGCTGTCGATGTACGCGCTGTTATTCAAGAGACTGGCCTGCGACTCAGAGTTGCCCGTTTTCGCCAGATTGTCGATGTGTGCGGGGCAGCAACTCAGAGGCGACGGATATAATCAGTTGCCAGTCCGATGTACGCTAGGCTTAAGAGCTACAGATCATGTTCCAGTCGGTGGTCTGGAAATAATCTCTTAGGCCCTGTTTATACTGAGACGCTGCGCAGACGTTTCCAGGCTATTAACAGAAACGACCTGGCTCCTAATGCAAATTTCTCAGCGTTCACATGAGGTTGAAAAACGATGTAGTTCTAGCGCCCGGCCAGTAGTGGGCAGAGAAACTTAACAACACTCACACGACCCCCAGCCCCGTGCCCAGCCCCACTCTCGGCAGTATACTCACTTCCTGTGCCAGACCCCCAGAACGCACCAACATCATTCTGCATTTTAACAGCATCTGAGAGAATGGAAACTGAACCTAGAGCTTCGCGTGGTCTAATTTGGACGAACGAAGGAGTAGAATTATCCTCTGTCCCGCGCTCGACGCCCACAAAGCTAGTTAGTGCGACCGCCGCAATTGTTGTTTATGTTTTTTCTCCGCTACTGCACATGCCCAAATTTACGTGCGGGGAGCAGCGCGGAGGTGGGGTCAGAGCAGAGGGGGATTTCACACCTATTCCCCTCTCGCGGGTGTGAAAGAGCTCCCTGCTGTGCGGCGTTTCTGAGTTGTCCCACTTTGCAGGCTGGATCTGAACATTTACGTTTTCACCCCCCTGAAACACAGTCTTTGTATGAACGGTTGGTAGAAACAGACATCCAACTATACCGTTTTACTGCCACATTGTCTCCGTGTAAACTCAGCCTTAGTCTCTCCTCTGCCTCTTTACTCCACACTGTTCTGTGCTGGATGTCTTTGCACCTTAGGAGTGTATTCTGGAGATAAAAGGACCAGATTGTGATCTGAGCGTCCGAGCGGGGGGAGGGGGAGGTGGCGTATGCGTCTCGGAAAGTCCAGGGTCCTACTCTCCCGGGTGGGGCACTTGACATACTGCGTGAATGTAGGGAGAGAAGCGGAGAGAGAGGCGTGGTTAAAGTCTCCACTGATCAAGATGAGAGCGCAGGGTGTACGGTTCTGGACCTGGAAAGGACCAGCACCTGGAAAGGAACAGGACCTCTACACCCAGAAAAGATCATGACCTGGAGTAGCCCAGCATACCTTCTCTGCAGAGACAGGAACCGTCGATGTGGGAGCAGGAGATGTGGTTCTGACAGGAGCAGGTAGATGTGCAGTTTGTCCCGTAGAGACCTGGAGGACAGGTCACGGAGCAGTCCTCTCCCTGTAAAAGGGAGAGAGGGAGAGAGAGAGAGAGCGAGAGCGAGAGAGAGAGAAATATGATTCCGTTATTTGGCCAGGGAAATAAACACATTTTCAAAGAGAGACCAGAAAGAAAGCAAAGAGAAAAGAGAGACAGAGACCAGAGAGAGAAACAGATGCATAATTGTAACAAGACAGAAGAAGATGAGTGTTTTATTTTTTTGGCGTGACACAGACACACGCACTCTCTCTCAAGCACAGACACAGACAAACACACACACTCTCTCACACACACACACATAGATCTGTATTCGTTGTCTCTCTCCTCCTCTTAAATGCTGTTGGTACTGTACACTATGGGATGTAATGATGCCATAATCTGAAACCGTTAGCACCAAGCACTTTTCCAGAACAAAGACTTGCTAAAGCTTCCAGGGCCCAACGGGTCTGAAGTCCATCTCAAGGTGAATGCAACACCACTGTCTTCAGATGTAGATGATATTACCTCAGGGCATTTAAAACTGAGATCTCAAATTCAATGTACCTGGGGGCAGGAGCAAGAGTCTGGGAGAGGCTGGGGGCTGAAAAAAGGGCTATGTTTATCACAAACCCTCACTGTAAACCCTGACAAGTGAAGTTTACTTGAAAAAACCTTGGAAACAAATTGCATATTAACTTCACTTGAATTCCCCGAGTACATCCTTTACTTGCCATTACCAAGTAAACTCAAGTGATTGCGATGAAGTTTAAATTTCAACCTATGCTCTGACCAGGATTCGTACTTTCAACCTTGTGGTTGAAAGGTGAAGGTGCTACCCACTCAGCCACCAGGCCACCTGTCTCATTTAAGAGTCTACACGTCAAAATGTCAAAAGTGAGGCTTACTTGAACAGAGAGTTCAATTCAAAGAAAACCCTGAGTGACATAGCAAAGCTTTAAATAAACTAACAATAAATGAGTAATATTCACTTACTGGGAAACTAGTCAAAAAACTAGGCAGGCGTTCCAGATTATCTATCCACTCTACATCTATATTTTTACAATTGTTTACTCAGAAGTACCACAGCTGGACTTAGTTGAGCTTTAGCAACACACAGTTTTACACCAGCTCACAGGGGTGCTGCTGTCTCACTTCCAAAATGTAAGTCTCTTACACCAAAAATGATTTTCTAGGTATCTATTTCAAGTAAGTATCACCACCGACCTCTAATAATTTTAAACCATAACTGCGTAAAATGAAAGTTGAATGTTAAAGGAATAGTTCACCGTTTTTACATACTGACAAATGTTCTTACCTTACCTTAGACTAGTTAATACGTACCTGTCTGGTCTTAGTCCGTGCGCTCTGTCATGCAAACGGAGCAAAAACGGGAGCACAACCGCAGCCTCCTCTGTATATTTTGTAGCACCAAAAGGTAGCTCCCGCTAGAAGCTACCAAACTCTTCCAAGTGTTCCCTATTAAATGTATATAGTTACGTGACGTGTTACACTGCAAAGTATAGTAACACAGAAATGTAACAGTCGATTTTCTCAGCGGATAAAACGGGTACTATATTGTGAGGCGTAGTAATCTGAGGGGCGCTACGTCCGCGGCACTAACTTCTCTCCGGAGACTTCTCTCTCGCTCACTTCCGTCAATAGAAGCAGCGTGACTTGTAATACACACAGTAGCAGCGAGAGAGAAGTCTCCGGAGAGAAGTTAGTGCGCAGAGAAGTTAGGAGCGCTCCCGCTAGAAGCTACCTTTTGGTGCTACAAAATATACAGAGGAGGCTGCGGTTGTGCTCCCGTTTTTGCTCCGTTTGCATGACAGAGCGCACGGACTAAGACCAGACAGGTACGTATTAACTAGTCTAAGGTAAGGTAAGAACATATGTCAGTATGTAAAAACGGTGAACTATTCCTTTAAGAAATACAATACATGCCATTTAGTAGATGTTATCTTTGCTGGGTTTTTCCTCAGTTCAGCTCTATTTCAATGTTGCAGAATTGCAATGTGGCTGGACAGATACCAATTTTGCAATATGCTTTATCTACTAGTTTGCCAATATTTTGTGAAAAGGTTTATACTAGAAGTATTTTCCTATCTCTGGTGTTTACATATTGCTTTGAGGAGTCATTGAGGGTATATCATTTATTTATTTATTTATTACTGGGACAGTGCATATTAATGAACATTTCTGTAAATATGCCAGAATTAGCCAAGCGGCTATTTTTCATCCGTAGTCCCATGTCTCCTGATAAGATAAAAACATGTTTGCTGCACAGTTAAAATAATGTGAGATATTTACAAGGACAAGACAGTAAAACATTCAGTCACACATTGTTCAACAAACAACAGTACACAATCACATGGAGACAGACATAGAACACATACAGGCGCACAAAGAGCAAGCGGCCAGCAGGGGGCAGCGAGAGCAGGCGGAGTCAGTGCTGACAGGTTTGATTAGCAATATTTACAATAGAAATACGTTCCAACTTTAATGTTGATACAAAGTAACTCATCCAGTGCTGGTCCCAGCCTCAGAATCCTTCACCTCCATCTTTCCCTCCTCAGTAAGCTCAAAGCTTTATCAAATAAACGATTTCAGATGGATCACATTAGCATTTTCTTTGTATCAATGAGAGTAGACATGTAGTGAGACCACAGCAGCGGCCCTTTTGAAAGATAGAAACAGACTGGCACTGATTAAAGGGCAGCCTCACGTCACACGCAGGCAGGTTTGATTAGGTTTCAATGCAGAAAGCGAGAAGAGAAGAGGAAACAGTCCTGTGAACATATAGATATCTAGTGTTAGATGCATTATGTATGTGCTCCTGGAGCCGATTTTAAAATAAATGTACTGACTCTCAACAGAATGTTTTAAATGGTTTGGAAGAAAGAAAAGCACTACTTGCAGCTGGCCAAGTGGCAGTTACTGAGGGTTAAGTGCATACTAGAGACGGCCCAAAATCATGTTTTTAAACGATCATTACATTTTTGTACAGCGTTAGTCTTAATCAAACAAGGCGTGAAACTCTTCTTCTTCGCGATCATGTGTATTTCTAGATAGTCAGGCCTCCCTCACAGCTTGGCACGCTCCCCGGCCCTCCAGGCTGGGGCTCTGGAGGCTTCATGGCCATCCCCATGTTCCCAGTGTTCTCAGCTTTACCTGAAGACAGGCCTGAAACCATGACAACGGCATGAGTGACAGTCTGTCTTATTGCCTTTCGCTTCTTCTCATTATTTCGGACACAGTTTATTAAAGACCAGGATCTTTGCTTTTGCTCCTTTGGCATCAACACAAAATCAAATGTGTTCATATAATAATAGATTATGCATATACTTAACTTATAATCTAGTATTTATAAGGAGGCTGACGGAGAGGGTTCCTAAAACCTCAAGAGTCCCACATGATGCCGAAGAACCACCATGTTTTGTGACAGAAACGTGTTTGATATTGTTCTGCAGAATCAGTGCGTTTCATTTAGAGTCAGGATTCCAGCTTAAAGTTAAACTTTTACTCTTTAACAAACGACGTTAAAGCAGCTCCGTGTTGTTTGACGTTTGAGCAATGGAAAGCAAAGATCTCTATCGTCTCATTTTACACAGATGTCATTTCCAGATCAAAACAGGAGTTCTTTTATCGCTAACAAGTTCAATTAATGTTCATCCGTGACTTAGTTGAAATCCAAGTTCCACACAAACCAATCCTGGAACGTTTATTTATATAGCGCCTATCTCTCAGACAGAGTCACAAGACTTTACATTTGTCTGTACCTCCTCCACAGAGATTTATGACAGTAATATGCAAATTAGATGCACCAATCAAATTCCATCCCAGATTTGGTTCATATGACGTTATTTATTGTGTGTTTGTGTATGTTTGTGTGAGCTCCAGTACAGTGTTCAGGGTTTTACGCTGATGCAGAGAAAGGCCCAAAACAGTTTAGTACTCCAGAGGAATAATGCACTAGCATGCTAATACAGCAGGGTCTCTCAATGATGCGAGCAGCCGCATAAATCCAGCTGAGAAATATGCCTCAGGAGTATTATATTCTATTATTATAATATATTATCAATCAACATATGATATCATTAATGCAAACTGTAAACGTGAACGGTTCATGGTTCTGTTGGGCGGTCGGGGGGGAGGGCCACCTGGGAGGATTGTCTTTTTAGCCAAACTGTAAAAGCACTTTGTGTTGCATTGTTGTATGAAAAGGCGTTAAAAATAAACTTTGAATGATTGATTTGAGATGTTAGGGTCAGATGTGTTCTGTGCTGAGCCTTTAGAGCAAGGGTCCAGTCCAGGGTTCCATACAGTCCAGGGGTCAGTCCAGGGTCCAGTCAGGGTCAAAGTCCAGGGTCCAGTTCCAGGCGTCAGTCCACGTGTCCTGCCCAGGGGTCCCGTCCAGGGTCAGAGTCCAGGGTCCAGTCAGGGTCCAGTCAGGGTCCAGTACAGGGGTCCAGTCCGGGTCCAGTCCAGGGTCCGTCCAGGGTCAGTCCAGGGTCAGTCCAGGGTCAGTTCCAGGGTCCAGTCAGGGTCAGTCCAGGGTCGGTGACTGAACGTCAGTGGGTTTTATCTTCCCCGTGAGCGACTCAGCAGCGTCGGAGTCAGACATGGTGCTGGTGCAGTCGGCCTTTCTCCGCTTCTGGAGACAAGAGGAAACTGGAACAAACCTGGTTTTTATTTACACGGCCAAACAGGAAAAGGCCATTTTTATAGAAAGTAAATATAAAAACTGTAACGTTAATAAAATCAGTCCTCAAGAGTTGGCTGAGAGGACCGCGAGAGAACAGAGAGAGGACCCCGAGAGAGGACCGAGAGGATCCGAGAGTGAGTTGGACCGATGAGAGGAGACCGACTAGTGGACCGAGGACAGGACCGAGAGAGGACAGTGAGAGGTTCCGAGAGAGGACCCGAGAGAGGGACCGAGAGAGGTCCCGAGAGAGGGCCGAGAAGTGAGGACGAGAGGACCGAGAGTGGACCGAGAGGACCGAGAGGACAGAGAGAGGACGAGAGGACCCGAGAGGTGGACGAGAGAGGACGAGACAGGACCGAGACAGGACGATGAGAGGACCCGAGACAGGACCGACGAGAGGACCGAGGAGTGAGCATAGGACCGAGAGAGGACCGAGAGAGGAACCGAGTGAGACCGAGGAGGACCGCAGACCGGACCGAGGAGAGAGAGGACGGAGAGAGGTCCGAGAGAGGACCTGACGAGACCGAAGCGAGAGGACCGATGAGAGGACCGAGGAGGAGGAGCCGAGAGAGGGATCGAGAGAGGACCGAGAGAGGACCAGAGAGGACAGAGGGACAGCGAGAGGAACCGAGAGAGGACCGGCCCGAGAGAGGTCCGAAGAGGACCGAAGAGAGGTCCCGAGAGGGACCGAGAGGACCGAGAGTGGACCCGAGAGAGGACCGGAGAGAGGACTGAGGAAGGACCTCTCGAGAGAGGACGCAGAGAGGCGAGATCGCAGAGGACAGAGAGAGGGACCGAGACGATTAGAGAGGACCCGATGAGAGGATCGATGAGAGGGTCCTCCGCTACCGTGGACAGTGAGGACCGGGAGAGAGGGACCGAGAGAGGACCGAATGAGAGGACTGAGCTGATCCCTAAATGCACCAAATATTACGTTTTCATTACAATTATGGACCAAAAATATTTACGTTGGGTGTGTGTGTGTCTGTACGTTTGTGTGTGTTTCTGCTCCGTGTTGTTGTCCTGTAACGTTTGTGTGTGTTTTGATCTTGTGGGTGTGTCCGGTACGTTGTGTGTGTCCTCAACCCTTAATTGTGTGTCCTGTAACGTTTGTGTGTGTTTTCTGATCCGTCGTGTGTGTCTGTAACGTGTGACTGTGTGTGTCCTGTCAACGTTTGTGTAGTGTATCTGATCCGTGTGTGTGTTCCTTGTAACGTGTGTTGTGTTTCTGATCCGTTGTGTGTGTCCTGTAACGTATGTGTGTGTCCTGTAACGTTAGGTGTGTTTCTGATCCATGTGTTCTGTTTCCTGTAAGTGTGTGTGTGTGTCCGTGTAACGCTTTGTGTGTGTTATCTGATCCATCGTGTGTGTCCCTGTAACATCGTGAGTGTTCTGTACATCGTGACATTCCCCCCGTTCTGTAAACATAGTGAGCTGTTCTGTAACCATGTTGTGGTTGTGATGTTTTTTCTGACCCGTGTTGTTGTGTACTGTGCCTTTGCCGTTCTTCACGTCCACGTACCACGTCGCCCTCTCGTGCCTATGGACCGTCCCGACTCTGAAGGCAAACACTCCTCCGATCTTCTTGCACAAACTGCTCCCCCTCCTGGGACACATGCAGACACAGCAGAGGGACGGGAGCAGATAGAGATCAGAGAGAGAGAGAGAAGCAGGCAGGATAGAGAGAGATCAGAGAGAGAGAAGCAGGCAGAGAGAGAGAGAGATCAGAGACGGAGAAGAAGCAGGCAGAGAGAGTGAAGCAGCAGAGAGATGAGAGAGAGATCAGGAGGGCGGAGAGGAGAAGCAGGCAGAGGAGAGAGAGAGATTCAGAGGAGAAGAAGCACGGCAGAGAGAGGAGAGAGATCAGAGAGACGACGAAGCAGGCATGAGAGAGGAGAGAAGCAGGCAGAGAGAGAGAGAGAGATCAGAGAGAGAGAAGCAGCAAGAGAAGAGTTGGAGCAGGCAGAGGAGGAGAAGAGAGAGAGAGGAGAGAAGCATGGCACGGAGAGAGAGAAGCAGGCAGAGAGCGAGAGAGAGATTCAGAGAGAGGAAGCAGGCAGAGAAGAAGCAGGCAGAGAGAGAGAGAGAGAGATCGAGAGAGAGAAGCCGGCAGAGAGAGAGCGAGATCAGGAGAGAGAGCAGGCAGAGAGAGAGAGAGAGAGGAGATCAGAGAGAGGGAGAGAAGCAGGCAGAGATAGTAGAGGAATCAGAGAGAGGAAGCAGGCAGAGAAGAGAGAGAGAGGGAGATCAGAGAGAGAGAGAGAAGAAGGCAGAGGATAGAGAGAGTTCAGAGAGAGAGAAGCAGGCAGAGAGGAGAGATGAGAGTGGGACGAGAAGCAGGCAGAGAGAGAGAGAGGAGAATCAGAGAGAGAAGAGAGAGAAAGCAGGCATAGATTAGAGATGGATAGAGAGAAGAGAGCAGGCAGAGAGAGGAAGAGAAGCAGGCGGAGGAGAGGAGAGAGATCAGAGATGAGAGAGAGAAGCCGACAGGCAGAAGAGAGAGAGGATCAGAGAGAGAGAAGCAGGCAGGAGAGGAGTGAGATCAGAGAGAGAGAGAGATCAAGCAGAGAAGCAGGCAGGGAGAGAGAGAGAGATCAAGAGAGAGAGAGAGAAGCAGGCGTAAGAGAGAGAGAGATCAGAGAGAGAGAGAGAAGCAGGCAGAGAGAGAGAGATCAGAGAGAGCGAGATCCGAGAGAGAGAAGGCAGGCAGAGAGAGAGAGAGGAGAGATCAAAGAGAGAAGCAGGCCAGCAGAGCAGGAGAGAGAGTTCAGAGAGAGGAGAGATCATGAGAGTGAGAGAGATCAAAGAGGATAGCACGGCAGAAGAGAGAGAGAGATCAGAGAGAGAGAGCGATCAAAGAGAGAAGCAGGCAGAGAGAGCGAGAGAGTGGAGACGAGAAGGGTTGAGGCCTCCTATTGTGCAGTCTGAGGTAAATTTACTTTTAGGACGTGAGTAACTGTACTGGATCAAAATGATCCAACTACATTGTTTTAAAAAAATAACATTAAGCCGATATTAAAATACAACACAAAACTTTGAAACTAAATGTTCGTTTTTCCAGTAAAAATACTTTTATCTAAACGTATTTATTCGACTTGAAGACAAGAAGCTACTGCCTCCTTGTGAACTGGTTCTGGTCCTGGTCTGGTCCTGGTCCCTGGTCTCTTGACTCAGACTGACCTCCTCCAGTTTCTCTGGATCTCCCTGGAAATACTGCGTTAGCTTGAACCCCTCCAGGCGTCTGCGCTGCACTGACGGGGGCCGCTGCTATCCTGTGTACACACACACACACACCACGGACACACAAAGACCACTACACACGACACACACACACACTTTACAAGGACTCACCCTGTTATAAAAACTACAGTTTATTTAATAATGCAACAGTCCTACAGCACTTTTTAGAACTTCAAAAAGGTTCTTCACATCTTTATTCTTCTCTCTCCAAACACGGTGGTGATAAACTACTACTATAGCCACAGTCTGACCTGTGGCACATTGAAGAGAGGCAACCAGTTCTGTGCCATCCGGCCCCTCCACCACCACGAACCATCACACACCACCAGATCCCTTCTAATTGTTGGGGAAGTGTCTTGCCTAAGGACCACAACACAGTTGGCACTTTGCCGCCGCCCACCTGTGGCCACCTTGTGTTCCCAGAGCGTCCCCATCCACAGAATTAACCAGGCCCCCCGCCCTACTTAGCTTCAGAGGTCGACAGTATCTGGTTTTCACCTGCAGCTATGGTCACATATTTATGAAACAAAATAGAAGTTAGGTACCTCAGCTTTAAACAGCAATAATTGCTACAGGCAAAGGCAGCTTACTTCCTTTTTCCAGAGACAATTTGTTACTTCAGCTTGCAGAGTCACGTGGGAGTAAAGCGGTTATGTGTCAGATAAATAGTTTGTACTGAGTTTACAAAATCCTGAAGGTTGAACTTTGGAACCGCTGCAGACCGCAGTACCTGTCCCCTGGACCCCGTCCCTGGGACCACCGTCCCCCGGAGCCCCGTCCCCCGGACGCTTTCACCTGATGCGGCGCAGCGGGCATGGTGCTGGGGCCTCTCTGGGTTCTGGTCTAGTCTGGTTCTGGTCCAGACTGTTAAATATTAATGACCGTGACCGACGCCTCATCTGCAAACAGTGCGCTCACTTCCGGGTTCGCCGATGTCACGTGTCAGGCGCAGCATTCGTTTACTTTCTTTTTTATTTTTTATCAAAATTGTGTGGTTATTATTGATGTATTTTCATGTTCTCTTTTTCATGAATGGTATGTAAACTGTGAAAAAAACAAAATCAAAGCAATGAAAATTACAGTGTAAAACTACACTGTTAAAGAGGACTATAAGAAGTTAAAATAATATCTGTAAACCACACACTGCAGATCCAGCCATCGACTGAAGCTTTATACAAAGACTACAAAGTCTGCGCATCAGTAAGACACCACACCAAAGACCAAACCATGAGAACAGTGGTTTAAAACTGTGTTCTGGGGACGGGAACTCCCAAGACATATTTTTTTGAGTTCCATTTTTAAAATGATGTCCCCCAAATGTTTCCCAGTCTCAAACACACATACGCTTTTCTAAAGGATGACCAGAGAATTGAAATGGAAAGAGTCCTGATCCACAGCGGGAAGCAGATAGTGCACTTTACTACATTTACAGAAGATAGTGGGACCAGCGTCATGTATTCAATATAGATCAGATCTGTCTCCGTCACATTCGGTCCGAGACATACGGTCCGAGACATCGGGTCCGAGACACTACGGCCAGTAAGACATACGGTGCGAGTCTTACGGTCCGGGTCATACGGTCCGGGACACACGGTCCGCGGACACGGTTTCCGAGACACGGTGAGGCCAGTGTCTGTTTTGTTTGGATAGCTTCTCTCACAATCGTGTATTTGATTGAAGTCACCATCTGACCGATTCAGTCAGACTTAATGCGGCAGGCGTCCTACCTGCTCATGAGATCAGCATGGTCGGTGTGCGTTGTAGTCGGGTCTGCGGTGTCCTTGTCTGCGTGTGTCGGTCTGCGTTTGTGTCTCGTCTGCGTGGTGTCCTGTCTGCGTGAGATCTGTCTGCGATTGTCGCGATGTGTTGTCTGGTGTGTCTGTTGCGTGTGTCGGTGCGGCGTTGCTGTGTGTCGGTAGTGCGGGGTGTCAGTCTGCGTGTGTCGGTCTGGTTCGTGAGTAATGTGCTGTCTGCGTGAGTCTTAGTGTATGTCTGGTTGCGTCGTTCCGTTGGTCTGGTGCGCGTGTGTTAGGTGCGCCGTGTGTCTGTTGAGTGTTGTCTGTATGCGTGTGTCTTGTGGCGTCATCTCTGTGTCTGTGCGCGAGTGTTCTGTTCTGCGTGTGTCTGTCTGCGTTGTGTCTGTGCGCGCATTTTGTGCTCTGTGCGCGCTGTGTCGGTCTGCGTTGTTGGGTGTGTCTGGTCTGCGTGTGTCTGTTGCGTGTGTCTGTTCTGCGTGTGTCTGTCTGCAGGCCTGTGGTGCGTGTGTCTGTGCGCGTGTCTTGTGCGGTGTGTCTGGTGCGCTGTTTCTTCTTTTTGTGTCTGTCTCCGGCGTGTCTTGTGCGCGCCTGTGTCTGTGGCGTGTGGTCTGTCTGCGTGTGTTCGGGCGTGGGGCAGTGTGTCGTCGTGCGCGTTTGTTCCCGCTTATCATTTGTGTCTGTTGGGGCTCTTTTTGTGTTCTGTGCGCGTGTGTGTGTGACGTGTGTGTCTGTGTGCGTGTGTCTGTCTGCGTGTGTCTGTGTGCGTGTGTGTCTGTGTGCGTTTGTGTCTGTGTGCGATGTGTCTTTGTGCGCGTGTGTGTCGTGGTGTGTGTCTTCTGGTGTGCGTGTGTCTGTTGTGCGTTGTGTGCTGTGTGCGTTGTGTCATGTGTCCGTTGTGTCTGTGTGATGTGTCTGTGTGCGCCCCCCCTGTGTCTGTGTGCGTTGTGTGTCTGTGTGCGTTATTGATGTGTCTGTGTGCATTCTCACAAAACCAGACTGGTGCAGAGTTAAACACCAGGATCACATTCACAACAAACATGACAATAATGTTGAAGAAACAGTCGTGTACACTTTGAACCAAACTTAACGAACTGATTTTAAAACAAAAAAAAAATAATATTGATGCTTGGCTATCATTTACATCAATAACATTTTATCAATGAAAGACTTCAATTGAACGTCATAAAATGCTAAATACAACTTTAACTCACGTCAAAGGCAACAACAGTGAGTCTGGACCAAACTGGCATGGGTTATTTGGACAAAACCAAGAATCTCATTTAACTTCAGTCTGACTGAGGACTGACTGACACGGGGGCCAGTTCTGACTGAAGGTGGCTGCCACGGGGGCAGTCTGACTGACAGGATGGCTGCTCGGGGGCAGTCTGACTGAAAGGATGTGCGGGGAGGAGAGAGCCTGAGGGCCTCATTTGTGCTTGGGGGTCAGGGGCCCGGGCGGCTCACTGCAGGGTTGGTAGAGGTACCCTCTGCGATAGGCCCTCAGGGGGGGAGATCGTGGCCACCACAAACCTCCCGTCGAAGGTACGTCCCGCGTCAGCAGTTCTGGGTTCTTTGGCGTCGCTGGAGCTGGAGTATCCACAAAACCTGACACAGACACAGAGTCACAGACACAGAGTCAGAGACACAGGAATCACCGACACAGAGTCAGTAGGACACAGAATCAACCGGCCACAGACGTCACAGACCCAGACACAGAGGTACAGACACCAGAGTCAACAGACACCAGAGTCACAGACACGAGTCAAGACACAGACCACAGAGTACACAGGGACACAGAGTCACAGACACCAGGTCACAGCCACGAGTCACAGACTCAGAGTCCAGACACAGAGTCACAGACACAGAGTCACAGGACACAGAGTCAACAGACACAGAGTCACTAGACACAGAGTCACAGAACGGCGCAGTGCTTTTTTCATGCATTGTTTGATTCTCAGATCTGTTGTCGGCGAGATCAACGGTTTTGGTAAGTCCTCCGAAGATTAAATACTGTTGTAATCTAGGACGATACAAGAATAAATTGAAGACTAACGTTGGAAACCGTTTACGGCGCGTTCAGGACCAAAAGCTTCAATAAACAGCTTTTGCGAGCTCCAACGTCGCGGGATAGTTTTGTCATTTTGGTGCTTGAAGCTTTTGCGCGGAGTGACGAGCGACGCGGTGGGCAGGGTTCTATTGTTGATCTGTAGCAGGGACAGCGGTGGATTTTTTCAATGAGCAGCGAGCCTTTATTTGTTATATAAAGCAAATTAACGTTTGTTGTAGGGCTTAACAAAACATGTTCTGAGGTCACCACAGACTTGAGCGGCTGCAGTGTTTGCAGAGTTCCGTCATTTACTCCAGGAGCTGCGTACGGAGGAGTCTCGCTGTTCAGCGGTACTTCCGCTTGTCACTCGCTCCGGTTTGAGTTCTCAACCCGGAGCTAGCCTCTCCCGCCCTCGCTCTCGCCCTCTCCCTGCCTCTCCTGCCTGCTCCCTGCCTTCTCGCCCCCGCCCGAGCTGCCTGGTTCTGAGCCAGACTCATCGTCAGCATGTTCTTATTTAAATAAAACTACGTTTACTACACAGCATGTGTCAATGATTTTCTGTTACTCAGTAGGTTACTACTCATACAAATTAATTATTACTATTAACAATAAAAACACCAGCTGCTACATGACTTCTCTTAAAGGTCAGAGACAAACCCTCTGCTGCTGCTGCTGCTGCTCCTCGTCTCCTGATTGGGTTGAAGCCCGCGTCAAAGCTTCAAAAAGCTCAGCTTGCTCAGCTTCGGCGTCAAAGGGTTGTTGTGCTACGCAGCAGCGTTCGCGCGTCACAAAGCTTCAAGTTGTGCGCGTAGTACGCGCGACTCTTGAAGCCTTTGACGCGCGTCAAGTGACGCCAGGGGCTCCTCGCTTCACATGACGCGCTTCCCCATTCACTTTCAATGCAAACCTTGACGCTTTTGACGCCGAAGTTAAGTCCAGGATGTGGAACGCCCCTTTACAGCAGTAGGTTCTGTACGGGTCTGAAACAGGCTCTTGCAGTCCAGCCTGAATGAGCCGGCAGAGGGGGGCTGACTGTCTTTTCTGGGTTCTCTTTGGGGATGAGCGAGTGACACCACAGAGGCCGTACTTCTGACACTCCTCCTTCATGTCCTCCGGATGTCTACAACACACACTCACACACGCCACACACGCACACACACGCACACACCTACACATAAATTCATATTTTATCTATATAGCACATTTCACGCCAGAGTCACAAAAGCGCTTTTACCATTGTGGGAATTAGTCTCCTACTACAAGAGGTTGTGTGTGGTGTGTGTGTGCGTCTTTCCGGGTGGAGTGGCGTCGTTTCGTGTTGTGCGCCGTGCGTGCGGCATGTTGTCATTAGAACTGTAAATTTCAACGATTGTAGAAACGTCTCTCCGTTAAATTAATGAGACATACTTTGCCTTCTGTGGCTTTTAAATAATGGTCCGCCGCGGGGCGCTGGAAAAATGTGGGACATCTTTTCACAAAGCATTCAGAAGTCCACAACGACCTAAAACTAGGATGATTCAAAAACATATACTAGGCATCTGGAACCAGAGGGACCAAGAACCACTTTAGGACCCGAGAACCAGGACCGAAGAACCACTTTAGGATACCGAGAAGGAACCAATTTAGGACCGAGAACCATCTTTAGGACGAGAACCACTTTAGGGCCCGAGAACATTTTGGACCGAGAACACTCTTTGGACGAGAATCACTTTTGGACCGAGAACAGTTTTGGGACAAGAATCACTTTATTGGACCAAGAATCACTTTTGGACCAAGAATCACTTTGAGGGACCAAGAGCCACTTTTGGACCGAGACCCACTTTTGGACATAGCGTTGGTGTAAAATACCTTCGTACGCCTCCTCGTTGTGCTGGTTGTTTGTCTCGATTCAGATTTCAGGAAGCCGCAGGACGGGAGGACGGCAGCAACATTCAGCTCCTCTATGTTGGGGCTGGACCAACAGACACACACACAGACACACACAGACCCACACACCAGAGACATGCAAAAAAAACCTGTTACGGGCAAGGCTATATGTCTCCTTTTGTTTTTTTTAAGTGTATTTGTTTGTCGTGTAATATGACATGAATAAAAATAAAAGTATATAAAAAGCTGCACTCACCAGAAGGGGGACCACTGATGAAGGGGCTTGAGCAGAGCTTTGTCTGCCGCAGCATCTCTCCCTGAGGCTCCTTCACAACATGCTGCACACACACACTCAACATCAGTGTAGACACACACACACATAGCTGTAGGACACCCCCACACATCAGCTGTAGACACCACACACTCATCAGCTGTAGACACACACACACACAATAGCTGTAGACACACACACACAGCAGCTGTAGACAACACACATCACATAGCTGTAAAGACACACACACTATCACGTTAGCTGTAGACCACACACATACATACATCAGCTTGTAGACAACACACCACACGCATGTGTGCGTTCGTCGCGCGTGTGTTTGCGTGCGGGGTCGGCCTTATGTGTTGTGTGGTGCGTTGTTATTCGGCTTTTGTTAGGGCGCTCACTTGTCTGTCTGTGTGTGTGTGCGTGTGTGTTTGCGTGCGTTTCCTCATGTCGTGTGTGGTGGTGTGGTGTGTGGTGCGTGTGTTGTGGTGTCTGTGTGTGTGTGGTGCGGTGTTTTGTGTGTGTGTCGTTGCGTTGTCTGTGTTTGCGTGCGTGTGTGTGTGTGGGTGACATTAGAGTTGGCCTGGGAGTTCACTTAAGACGTGGCGCAGCCAGCTAGAGACGGCCGTCCGTCACACTATGTGTGGAGATGGGGCTTTTTGATCGCGCTTATTAAGAGACCCGCCCTTTTTGGACCGTGTGAACGCTGTGTGACTTTATAAAGGGGCGGGGGGACAGGTTAAGAAGTGTTTCAAGAGTCAAACAGAGAGGGACAGAACAACTGTTCTTGTGGCGGGGAAGGTTCTTGTCCTGATGGACCGCAGTCTCCTGCCTGAGGGGACCCGCTGGTTCAGAACACGAATAGTCCATGTGCAGGTGAGAGGGGAGTGGTTGGAAATTAGTCCATGTGCAGGGTGTGAGGCGGTCGGCTGTGTACGGAACAGCCGGCTCGAGCTTCGGGCGACCGTACCGGTTCCGGCAGCGATGAAGGCTGCGCGATCACTTCCTTGGCATGAGCGCACAATGCGGCTGTAGTCTCTGTTTGTCCTCTGACTGTGGATCCAGCGAACCACACGTGATGGAGGAGTGATGATGGACGTGGTGACGGAGGAGGTGAGGCATTGATCGATGATGGCCCCGTGTTAGAACTGCACCAAACATTGTGCAGGCAGCTTGGTTTCCTGAGCTGCCGCAGTGAGAGTAACATCCTCTGCTGGGCCTTCTTGATGATGGCGAAGTGATGGTCGGCTCCCACTTGAGGTCCTGGGTGATGGTGGTGCCCAGGAAACTGGAGGACTCCACAGAGGGGTGATGGGGAGTCCATCGACGGAGGGTGGGTTGTCGTGGCAGAGGGACAGTGCTCTTCCTGAAGTTCCACAATCATCTCCACTGTCCTTCTGGAGCGTTCAGCTCCAGGTTGTTACCACTGCACCAGGACCACCTGCCGGGTCCACCTCCCTCCTGTAGGCGGACTCATCGTTGTTGGAGATGAGTCCCATGAGGGTGGTGTCGTCGTTTTCCGCGAACTTGATCAGCTTCACGGAGTCGTGGTGGAGGTGCAGTGGTTGGTGTACAGGGAGAAGAGCAGGGGAGAAAGAACACAGCCATGTGGGGCTCCTGTATTTATAATCCGAGAGTCCGAAGACATTCGTCCCCAGAGCACTCGCAGCTTCCTGTCCGTCAGGAAGTCAGTGATTCCACTCCTGACAGGTGGGTTGGAATCGGGCCACGTTGAGCCTGGGGAAGAGCTTGTCCTGGAGAGGGATGGCAGGTTGTGTTCAAGGGCAGAGCTGAAGTCCCCACGAACAGACCCTGGCGTAGTCCCCGGGGAGTCCAGGTGCTGTAGGATGTGGTGGAGGGCAAGCTTAATGGGGTTCTACAGATTGTAGGCTCTGTAGGCGAACTGAGCGGGTCCAGGTGGGGGGAGGTGAAGGACTTGAGCATGGGAGAGGACCCAGGCGTTTCAAATGACTTCATGCGACGACGGTAAGTGCTACAGGGTCTGCTAGTCATGAGTCCTGTGATCCTGGGCTTCTTCCAGACGGGGACAATGATGGAGGATTTGATGAAGGCAGGCCGGGGACATGGCAGGGACTGAGAGAGGAGTTGAAAATGTCAGTGAAACCAGGCGTTAAAGCTCACTGCGCAGTGTCTCAGAGTGGCCGGAGACACGTGGGACGGGCCGGAGCTTTGCCGGGCGGTGCAGCCTCAGGAAGAGTTGTATTATCTTTTCGCGGCTATTT